GGGGTAGGCAGGGTTGACTCAGGTCGGTGGGGGCAGGTCGGGACAAGGAACTGCGGGGTCAGAAGGTGAGATCACACGGCGGGAGGTAGGTCGGGGTCGGGGTATGAGGATCGGATGGATCTCAGGGGGGGGGAGGAAGCCGGGTCAGGATGAGTTGGCGGGTTAGGAACGGGGGAGGAGCGAGAAAACGGGTTGGAGTAGGAGCGGGCGAGACGGGTCAGGTCACGGGCGGAGGATGGGGGGGGGGAGAGAGGGGGGGGAGTGAGTCGGGGTAAGATCCGGACGGAGGGACAGGGATCGGGGTCGCGGCAGGGAGGGAGGGATAAGGCTTGGGTCGGGAGGCAGGCAGGCCGGGATGGGAGGCGAAGGGTCAGGGGTGACGAGATTGGGGGGAGGAGCGAGAGGTCGGGTCGAGATGAGATAGTAGGAGCGGGAGAGACGGGTCGGATCGCAAGCGGAGGATGGGGTGGGGGGGGGGGGGGGGGGACGAGTTGGGGTAAGATTCGGAAATAGGGACAGGGGTCGGGTTTGCGGTAGGGAGGGATAAGGCTTGGGTTGGAAGGCAGGCAACCCAGCGGGAGGGTCAGGGGTGACGAGGTTGGGGGGAAGAGCGAGAGGACGGCTTGGGGAGGATCGCGGGGAGGGCCCGATCGCGGGGTAGGGCAAGAGGACGGGTCATAGATTGGTGGCGCGGGGATCGCAGTAGGGAGGGATAAGGCGTGGGTCGGGATCGGGGTCTGAGGCGGGCCGGGAGGTAGGCAGGTCGGGACGGGAGGCGGATTGGGAGCCAAGAAAGTGGGCGGGGGGAGAAACAGGTCGGAATCGATGAAGATGGGAAAGTCGCTGACGCTTGCTCTGAATAGACAATCGGTCCTCGGTGTTTGACGCTCGCTCGTCGGTGATGATGCTCGTTCTCCGCCTGTGCGGTCTTCGTGGTTGCAGGCAGTCTATCGAACCAACTCCCCCACCGCGTCGGTTCTCAACGCGGGGCCCCAAGGGGAGTGGAGCGACACACCACCATGCGTCTAGCGCCTGCTTCTGTCGCAATGAAGATGTACTCCGCTTGCTCCGCTGCCTACTGCTGCGGTTCTTCATCCTTGACTACGGGACTCCTGCTGGCTTAGGCTGCGCCCTCTTCGGACTTGGCTATGGCCACCACCGATCCTCCCACCTCCTTCCCACCTCCTTCTGTCACCTCTAGCCGTCGCCCCCAGCCCTCCTCCTCGCTACCTACTTCCACTCTCCTCGCAGCCCGTTCCCGGCAGGCGTTTGCGCACCTGTCGACACAGGCCCGCTGTGTCGCGTGCGCTAAGCGGCGCGTCAGGCGGGTTCATCTGCTCACGCACCAACCAATTCAATTACCTGTCAAATCTGGACAGGACGGCCTTTCACGCCTTTTTTATTGTCATTATAGTCTTACGGGGAACCCCGTAGCAGCCTCATCCGTGCTCAAGCCTCCAACGAGGGAACATGCGGGAGCCTGCTACAGCAGGTGGGTGATACCGGCCAGGGGTTAGCCGGGAGCATCAGGACCGAGCTTCTTCGATGGGCCAATCACTGTGCCTCCCCTCCGGTCCGCTCCCCCTATGAACATCAGCAGTCTCTGCTCAATGCCACTCAGGGGGACCAACTGCATATCTCTAGGTGGCGGGCGCCAAGCTTGCCCAGGAAGGTGCATGAGGCCAATGGGGATAGAACCCAAGACCTCCTGAATGCCACTTGCGTGCCTTACCAACCGAGATAGTCCGCTGGATACATTTTTGGCGGATTCGGATTGCGGTCATCGAGATCTGTTAAAATCCGCAATAAAATTTTGAATCTGCAATTTTTTTGGTTGGGCTTTCAGAGTAGGGAAGGGGGGAGAGGAGAGGGG